AATACGATTACAGCTCTGATGGTCATTCCAGAAAAAGAGATCCAAATTTGCTTTGAAAGGCAGACTAGGCGCTGGCATTGATGCATAACTTCCCAAGGGGAGTACTTCAAAGGTGACCATAGTGATATTCAGAATGAGGTATATTGCACTTTTTCTAGGATAAGTTCATGAACTTAATTGTCCAACCTCATGTAAGAGTTCAATGTTCAGGGACTAATCCACTCACTCCTTTCGTTCAACCTGCAAGTTTTTGTTTAGTTTGTTATTCTATTTTGGTTTTCAAGCTAGTAGGATGCACTTTTCGAAGGTTCTCTTCCCTATAATTAATATACCTGAGGCTATTATGTACAAATGTAATGAGAACTATGACTTGGCAGGGATTGGCAGCCTTTTTCTGTAAGGGGCCATATGGCCTCTGTTGGAACTACTCATCTCTGCTGTAGGACTGTCTGGGGACAACAGCCATAGCGATATGGATACGAATAGATGTGGCTGCAGCCTAGTAAAACCCCATTCACAGAAACAGGTGGCGAGCTGACCTGAGGGACATATGTTCCCACCCTCTGACTTACTTAGATTCTCACTTGGGGCTGTTTTACACCAATCTTCAGCCACACTGTCCTATGTAAAGGTGTGACATGTTTTAAGGGTCAACATAGGCATCTCTTTCACCCCCAGACTTTAGGGAAAAATCTCCCACTCGGTCAGTTACAAAGCCTAAAATGCTAACTGTTAAAATCTTTCCTGTGGGAAAATTCTCAGGTATTCTGAAGATGACATTTTATTGAAAACCATAGGTAACCTATACAGATGTAAGCTCCAGTAGGCATTAGTTTAGATTTATTCTAAACAGAAGTCTAGGATGATAAGGGAATGGGACAAAGTACAGGTCATTTTTAGTGAGAGGGTGAGAAGAGAATCCTACAGCCTGGGCTGCAGCAGCGGGAAGCTCTGAGTAGAAGAAAGCACTGGTGCATTCAGAGGATGGCGGTGGTGATGGCGATGGTGATGCTAACAACCCGTGAGTGCCAGTTGTCTGTGAGGCCAAGTGCTCTGCATGCATTCTTTCCTTCTAGCTACGCCATGTAATAGAAAACATGCTGCTCTCCATTTTATAGACAAGGCCACTGAGCTTAAGAGAGGTAACTGACTTCCTGAGGAGGAAGTGCCGGTTCTAATCCATCCCTAGGTGTTTTTGATGCCAGAATACTTTGATCAAATTCAAGGAAAAACTTTCAGATGATACAACATTAAAAATAGATAGCAAGGCAGGAAAGCACTTTAGATGTTTGAGACTGTGTTGTAACTACCAATTTGTACTTCCTAATCCCTTCACCTTCTCACCCACCCCTCCAACCTCCCTCCCATCTAGCAACCATCAGTTTGTTCTCTGTATCTATGAGTCTATTTTTGTTTTGTTTGCTCATTTTTTCTGTTGTTTAGATTCCACATATAAGTAAAGTCATATGGTATTTGTCTTTCCCAGTTGGACTTATTTCATTTAGCATAATGTCCTCTAGGTCTATCCCTGCTGTTCCAAATGGTAAAAGATTTCATGCTTTTTTATGGCAGAGTAATACTCTGCAGATACATCTCTATTCCTCCCTATAGATACCCTTTTTATCCCATAGTAGCCATCGTCAAGTTCTGCTTAAACTCTGAAGTCCTCCCAAGGTGACCTCCGAATAGTGCACTCATTTCTGTACTTGGCATATACATCGTACCACAGGGAAAGCATCTTTTGAAAATCTGGCTTTGCAGCCATTTAGTTGGGACTGTCTTCTGAACTTTGCATGTATATCCATTAATTGTGCTCTCTCTCAAGCAGCTTGTAACTGCGGTCTCTGTAAGAGGCAAAGATCAGCCTGGACCTGTTCTGATTTACTAGTTTATTGATCTTGACCACAAATTCTTTTATTTGAAACGCTTCACTCACGAAGTCAATTTGATTGCCTTTGCCCATTTATTTCAAAGGTGTCCGTTATAAGTAGTCCTGCCAAAGAGTAATGGAGGAGCTACAATTACTAATAAAATAATTAAAATGTATTTATAAACCCAGTGGAAGGCCAGGAATGACATTGCTTTCCCATTGATTATTATACCAGTCATTAACTGCTGAAAAAATGCCATTATAGCAAGCAGAGAACATTGGCCAATTCCTTTGGTAACTGGAGGATCCCATCATTAAGACTTCAGTATTCTGGAAAGTAATTACTGATTTGTTTCATGTATTTCACAGTGTGTGGGTAAAGTGGTTAGATGTTTTATGGCAAGACTGAGGATTCAGGCAGACATTAACTGCCATGGACAATTCTCGCTTGTCAGTCAGTGCTACTTTAAGTAATTTGTGGTTTGGACTTTTACTTATGCTGAGTATTCTTAGAAGTTAATATGCCAGTTTTGCACAGATTTGTATCAAAGTGCTTGATGATTATGGTAGAGAGACCCTTGGGAAAAACCTCTACCTAGGGTCTTTAACCCCTGGATGTTATAATGTAACAATATTTTTTTTCATAGGAAGCAAAGGGGATTAACAGATTATAGTCAGTGCTTCTGAGTGAAACATGCCCGGATGGTTGTTTCCTTTTTAAGAACTAGGTGCCTATGGTAACGCTGGAGGAGAATGGGTAACATCTCTAAATTCTTGGTCAAAGATCCCTGCCTATCAATATCCCAAATAAAGTAAAAGAATGTTACAGGGGAGTGTCATCATAGATAACTAAGCTGTACCCTAAGGGGTATAATAAGAGGGATCAGGTCCCAGAAACCAGCGAGCCACCCCACCCCACTGCAATCTCTCCCTGATTGCACAAATATTGGGTTGTCGGAAAAGTCATGATGCATGTTTGCAACAGATGGCACTAGTTCATTTTTGGAAGTACTAGGGTCATTCACATCTATGGTATTGCTATGTCATTTGACAGCTGACAGTTTTAGCTTCATTCTAAAAAAAAAAATTTGAGTGATTTGGTTGAGTTTTGGAGATTTTACAAATTGAAGATGGAAGACCAAACTGTGCATTTTTGCCATATTTTACTGTTTTACTTCCATAAAGGGAAGAACGCGCATCAAGCTTGTGAAAAGTTGCATAAAGTTTATGGTGACAATGCTCTACAAAAATGTCAGTGCCAGCAATGGTTCACAAAATTCCGTGCTGGCGATTTTGATCTCAACGACAATCCTTGGTCAGGGAGGCCCACCGAGGTTGATGACTGACAAAATAAAGGCATTGATCGAGTCAAACCCATGTTACACGATACGAGAGATTGCAGAAACATTGAACATCCATCATTCAAGTGTTCACGACCACCTGAACAAGCTGGGATACGTAAGTAAGCAAGCTCGATATTTGGGTTCCGCATGAATTCAAAGAAGTTCATTGGATGGTGCGTCTAAACATCTGCAATATGCTCATTAAACTTGAGGAAAACGATCCTTTTTTGAAGCGACTGGTAACTGGTGATGAGAAGTGGATTGTTTACAACAATGTGGTGCGCAAACGGTCTTGGTCCCAACGTGATGATTCGCCTCAAACGACATCGAAAGCAGACATTCATCAGAGGAAGGTTTCGCTCTCACTGTGGTGGGATTTTAAAGGTGTCGTGTTTTTCGAGCTCCTATCAAGGAACCAAACAATCAATTCAAATGTGTACTGTCAGCAATTGGATAGTTTGAACAAATCCATCATCCAGAAACGTCCAGAGCTTGTTAATTGTAAAGGAGTTGTGTTCCTTCATGACAATGCGAGACCACACACAAGTTTGATCACCCGTCAAAAATTATTGGAGCTTGGATGGGATGTGTTGCCACACCCACCATACTCACCTGACCTTGCACCGTCAAGCTTCCACTTGTTTCGCTCTCTTCAAAACTCCTTGCATGGTATAATGTTCAATACAGATGAGGCTGTAAATCAGCACCTTGTTCAGTTTTTCGCAAATAAAGACAGGTCCTTCTGTGAATGAGGAATTATGAAGCTCACTGAAAGATGGCAAAAGGTTATCGAACAAAATGGGCAATATATCATTGATCTTTGTTCTTTATATAAATAAATGACCTTTGAAAAACATAGACAAAATATGTCATGACTTTTCCGACAACCCAATAGAAGATCATTGTAAGTCAAGGAAAGCAGTCCTGCAGTCCGTCCTCCTCACTTAGTGAGCCTCACTGTGTCTGGGGCCCTTGGTCAGTGAGAGAGTCAAGAGATTTATAGTAGCATCAGGGCGTGGAGACCGCAGTGCTGATATACCTGGCAACCTTTCATTGTGTCTGACCAGTCTTGGTCTCATAGTGTTTTATAACTTGAATCAAGAGAGACTTATCCTGCACACATCAGGATGATTGTCCTCATTTTAGCAACCCCCAAAGTAGGTATATCAACAGTCTGGGGATTGTTATTTCCCTTTCCAAATAGTAGGTTATTGGGTTTGTTTTTTTTTTTAATTGAAGTTAAAGTTAGGTAAGGATCAAATAAAAATCTTTTGATTATGACCCAGTGTTCTTTCCACTACATTTTTCAGAAATATTAGTGAGGGTACTGATTAAATAAAATTTTCACTTTGCAACATCAGAAAAAAGAGAAAGAACAGCAGGATTAAGCATTATTGTTTAGTCTTTCTTTGCATAGAAGGGAAAGGTGATCAGTGGTTAAAAATGTAAGAAGAATAGCTAATCAAAGCTGTATGTAGCTGTGGCAGTCTGTAGCTTTTAATGGGTGATGCCAACTTATGTTGTTAATTCATTGAACAGAGACCAACAGATATAAATTAGTATGCTCTTTGTTATAATGTACATCCTTTGAGGGCAGGGTGTATGTCATATTTGTAGCTCTTTGTAGCTCTTAAGTTTAAGTTAAGGTCAAGAAGGCCATAAAGTATACTGTCATGAGATAGAATGATAGTATCTTACTTTTTTTTTTCTCCTGTGCCTGCCAGCCTGTAGTACTTAATTTGTAGATCCTTAAGAGATATTCATGTTCTTTTTTTTTTTTAATTTAGTTGTCTGTTTTGATGCCAAGATAAACTTTGATGATAATGCGGAATTCCGACAGAAGGACATATTTGCTATGGACGATGGATCAGAGAATGAGCCCATTGAAAACGAAGCTGCCAGATATGATCTAAAGTACATAGGGCTGGATGGGAACATTGCCTGCTTCGGTAAGAAATCTGTTAGAGCAAAAGAATGATTTGTGGATTTTTGCAGAATTTAGGAGCCCCTGATTTCTGAAATGTTATTTCCCAATAGTAGGTCACATAGAGCTTTTTGTACCCCCAGAGTCTTAGGAAGCACTTCAGAGTTTCTCCCCAAAGTTCATTTTGGTCACTTGTCACTGGTTTAAAGCAGGGTGTCTCAGCTCTGGCACTATTGGCATTCTAGGTGTTATAATGCTTTGCTGTGGGGCTGTCCTACATTGTCAGGTATGTGGCAGTCTCCCTGGCCCTTAGGTGCCACTAGCATCCCCCACTTGTGACAACTAAAAATGTCTCCAAATATTGCCAAATATCTTCTGAAAGGCAAAATTACCCCAGATGAGAACTACTGTTTTAAAGCATCTCAGTTAAACCTTGCCTAAAAACTGGAACCTATGCTCTTCCAGGCAATGTTAATATGGTAGGAACTCTTCTAAAATTTGGTTTTAAGACAAAATTACTTTCTCAGAGGAATTAGAAGAGACTATGTACTTTAATCATTATGCTCAAGTTTCTGCTTCCTTGATAGCCAAATGATAAAATGTTTAATCCATTATGCCAGTTTATTAATGAAACGATTGATTTTATCATATTCATTTAAATTTGTGAAAATGGCTTGTTCAGCTGAGATAAGAATGGATGTATAGAGGCAATACAACTTTTGTTATTGCCCACAGCTTATAGAACTGAGATTTATATGCTTATGTGTTTCTGATGGAACCAATTCATTGCACTAGAAACTGAGGTCTTAATCTTAATGGAATTAAAATTAAAAAGATTTGTAATTCATTAAATCAACATTATCATTATATTCAGAAGTGAACACACCTCATCCAGTAGTTTACTGTTCAATAGAAAATGACATCCAATTACAAGTGATACTAAAAGCTCTTGCTTTGTTTTGGAGCAGTAACTAATAAACCAGGCTGTTTACTTCATTCTGATCTTGATAAGTTAATCCCCTCTCCATATCTGAAGGCATTTAGAAAGGAGAAAGATACAATGGTGTGTTTAGAATAAATTAAACACAGATTCTATGTAGCCTCTGGAGTAGTGTGCATGATTTGACCAGGTTAGCCTTAAAAGCTATGATTAACACATTTCAAATTGTTTTAAGGTCCTATATAAACCATTTTTATTTTAGTTGCCCCAAAATTAATTAAATTAGTCATAGTTGATAGGCTTGTCTGGAGAATTCAAAGGTCAGAAAAAGTGAAGGGTACTTTACCTTGAGAGTTTCTGCTGAGTTCAGGAGATTTTTAATTTTTTTAATTTTTGCTTTCTAATCAGATGAAAGTAATTTTATATAATTAAACATGATCAAAAGAAGTACAATTGATTAATAAGACTTAGTTCTGGAAAATAAGAATTTAGATGTTAAAACTCTTTACTTGGATTTTTAAAGAAAAGTTCCTAAGATGTTAGCACATTTTGGTTCTAGTTTTAATGATCAGGTTGCTTGTGAACATTTCTATATTAATTTGAAAAAGGAACAGGGGGATAGGATTATTGTTTTGATGCTATCATTTGTACACTTTTTTTCTGACTTTATCCAGATAACATATATAAGCATGCACAGTGGCCTTGGGTAAAAATGCTTGGGCTCCTATTGCAGTTCAGACACCCCATGGCTCAACCCCAGAATACCACTTGCAAAGGACAATTTTCTCAGCAAGCAAAAAATTAAAGAATTCCATTTTTTACTCAAGTCTCTTAAAGGAGATTAAAAATAATGTAATTCATAGGCCCTAGTAACTTTTCATAGCTTTTTTTCTCTTTTCCATTTCTCTTGAACTCCATCATTTCCAGAACCTAAAACTCCCTATTCTATTACTAGCCCAAATGGATTACTTTATGTAAACTCTCCCCTTCTGTTACCCAGATTGATTTAACTTCTCAATAAATCCCCAGTCCCAGGTTATTTGGTTATTCTTTGTATAACATTACTTGATTCCTTATCTTTAAAGTCTATATTAACTTATCTGGTTGAGTGGAGTTCCAAACAGGATAGAAATTGGCGCATAATGACAGGGTTCTGTTTTGCAATATGGGCGAGGCAAAAAGTTCGTAGACCCTTTCATTTTGCTAAATATATCCTGCATTGTGTGCCATTTGCATGTTACAGTGAATGGTGCTGGACTCGCCATGGCTACTTGTGATATCATCTTCCTGAATGGTGGCAAGCCAGCCAACTTCTTGGATCTTGGTGGTGGTGTAAAGGAATCTCAAGTATATCAAGCCTTCAAATTGCTCACAGCTGACCCTAAGGTAATCTCTCTCTTTGTGGGAAGATTGCATAATGTTTTGATTTCTCACCATAAAAAGCTAGGGGTTAATAAGCCAACACATGTACTATGCAGCCTCAGAGGCAAACCCTGCCTTCCATCCCATTGGAATACATGATAATTTAACTCATTTTGGGTGAAAGGTTTGTAAGTGCCCCCAGGATCTTATTTCAGAGGCTGTGCTTACAAAATTCTGGGAGGTGGCAGGAAATAAAAAAGGTGTAGTGCACCTAATCATCAAACATTGGTTGGCATGAAATATTATTTGGATAAATTACACTGAAGCAATTAGCCCTACACTTACATGACATAGAAAGGACTCGGTCTCAGAGTCCTTCCATGAAGATGCTGAAGGTATCTTCGTAAGTTTGGAGATAGAAGAAAAGTATAGGATTATATTATCATATATCATTGGAAAATAAAGACCTACCCTCTGTCTGTATGCTTCTTAATTTTCATCTCTGATGGTTACATATGTTACAGTTTGTAATATATGGCCTAAGCAGTGAATAACATTGCTTCATGTGCATCTTTTCTTCTTCACTAGAATGTAACTATCATACATGCTAGGTACATAGTATAATAGGTATCAGTAAATATTGAATCAATCTACATACCAATATGCCTTGTTTCTACTGTACTCATGATAACACGGTTAAGTGGGTGTTTGTTATGTGGAAAAGACTAAAATTTTTTGAATGTCTGATATATATCATGTAGTTCTATTTAAACAGTTCTGTTGGGTAGCGTATATGCCATGATCATTTGATTTTAAACTTTGAGAATCAATATCTTGATACTGTTAGGGTATCTAATAATATATTCTCTTGGTTCCTGATATTTATGAAGACACAGGAAATCTGAACCTATCATCCAGAAAATCATGAATGAAAACAATACTAGATTTTTTTTTTTTTTAAGATATGTGGTCTGACCTTAACATCGAAACCTCTCATTAATAAGTATGACAATAACCTTTTTGGGTTTACTTGCATACAATTTTGGCTTCTAATTGTAGTATGTTTGTCTGTTTCCATTATGACTTAGGTAGTTGGTGACCTTATGTTTTAGCTAACACTTTTCCTTCTGACTCACAAAGTAAATGGTAAAGTATTATCAACCACTTATCTTCAATTCTCCGATGCTGTTCAGGAATAGCAATATCTCTGAAGCCCAAAGCCACCAGCTATGAGGAAAGTCCAGGGGATTGATTTTTCTCTTTACATAAGCATGGTGTTTTCATTCTTAAATAGGAACATTATCAGTGGCTCCCTAATCATTTAATTAATTCTTTTATCCCTTCTTCCTACTTCTTTCTAAGAATCATTTTCCTCCCAGTGATTTTCAAACCAATTGAAATCTGTAAATAGCATGGATATAACATGCAGCTCTTTAAACTACTTGAACCACAAAGTACCCAGAAGACAGGCAACTGTAGGAAAACACGTAATACCTTGGTTTACCAGCATAATTCGTTCCAGGAACAAACTACTCGTATTGCAAGACATTGTTCGTTTATCATGTTAAAATGTATTAGAAATGTTTGCTTGTCTTGCAGAACACTCGTAAACCAAGTTACACGCAATCCAGGGTTTCACTGTACTGAACTTTTAGTGTCTACTGAAATTCATTGTTAAGAATAATTGAGAGCCATTGAAGGATTAAATCTGCCAGGACAATCATTGCATTTTAAAAAATATCTTTTTTTAGTAGCTGATTCTGAATTTTAATTTTTTTAAATGAGAAAAGAATGAAAAATCACTTGCAGAGGCATTTTTGTTTTTTAAACAATCTCTTCAAAAATTTTGACTTTACCTTATGGAGTATTTTCAAATGCTTGTAGTATTTAAACTTTTTTGAGATTGGCCATCATCTTAGGTAGAGAAAGGTATGTAGGAGCTATTTTTCTCGTGCCATATCAGGAAAATGAATGCATAGCTCATCTTACAGTACATTTGCCAAGTCTTGAAATTTCAAAGCCAGTTAAGAAGCATAGAAATGTAATGGGTATTTTCACTCCTGGCATTGTTTCACAGATTTCAGAGAACAGAGGCTAAAAAATAGTACAGATGAATTGATTTGGTTTTGCAAGGAAACTGGTTGTAGTTCTGGCAGTAATTATTTCAAGTAGAGCCCTATCCAGCTGCCCAGAAGTAGGTTCCCAAGAGCCCAAACCTAATTATTTCAAAGGTATCGATTTTCTTGTTAGATGTAAGGATTAGTCAGTTGAATACACTGAAACTCAAAATTACAAAAGGCCTGTTGTTAAACTTGCGTCAGCTGATACTAACAACTACTTGTTTGCCATATGTGTGAGTTAATTCTATTGATCAAATAATAAACATCATCGTTAAAGGAAAATATTATGAATTGACATATATTGCCACTCATAATGTCAGCCATAGAGCTGGAACTTATATTTATTTTGCTTGACTATTAGCCCAAATGCTGGTTGTCACTGGGACCTAACACAGGTACCTTGATAACTAATGTGTCCCTTATTTGTTTGTAATATATGTGAAACCATGTTCCTCTGCCAAACTGAATATTTTAAGAATCTTTTCAAGATAGTTCACTCATTAAACTAGATTCACATGAAGTGTATCATTAAATATTTTATTATTCTCTTATTTTTCACCTGGGCTTGAGATGAAAGCAAGGTAATAGAGTTGATTCTGCTGGTGGTAGAATAGATCTGATCTTATCCTCATCATTTTTAACTTAAGAAAATTCTAAACACTGGTGTTCTTAAATCACAGAGAGTAAAATGATATAAAATAGGAATTAGAAGTAGAGTTTTCTGGTAATCTGTAAAGAATTTGAGCACATTTAAAGGAAAAACACTATAAGGAATGCTATCCTTAGGTTTTTATTTTCCTAAATCATGTTTTGGCTTTTATTTCTAATTCAAAACTTAGAATTCCAAAGATATGGAAAATGAGTTACAACAACATCTGGAGTATGTAAAACATTTTGCATAAATGAATAAAATAAAAAGACAGTGGTGTGAATCTCAATAGTAACCCCAGCTCTATCAACCAAAACTAAGCGAATCTGTTGCCCTATGGAGGCCTAATTTTGAAAAGCAGCAGTATATGATCGGCATCCATGAAGTCACCCCACTTGGTTTAACTGTGTTTCTAACTTAGAATTATGTTTTCAAAGCCCTTTGAATGTCCAGGAAGAAATGTGCTACATAAGCACCAAATACTCATTCAGGAAGGAAGGGATTCTATGTGGGGCTCTGGTGCCAGTCCTGTCTTTACTACTTACTGGTTGTAGGACTCTGGGCATGTTGTTTAACTTCTCTGTGCCTCGATTTTCTCATTTATAAAATGGAGATAATTACATTACCTCAGAGGGTTGTTTTATTATATAAACTGAAATAAACACACATTTCCCATTTACAGGGGTAATAATTTCATATGATAGTATCATTAAAAATTTTAATAAACTTTTTTTTT